TAACAGAACCTTATCCCCAATTTTAAAGTCTGGTTGTTTATGGCTCTTATCCCATCTGTTCTTGTTATATTCAACTGCTTCTTCAACACACTTTTTGGCATGATTCTGAGTCACATCAAGCATCTTTTTAAAGTCTAAAGCTGTTGGGTGTATATGTGGTAATTTATCATTAAGGGTATCTTTTGGCATTCTTGGGATCCAACCTCTCTCAAGGACATAAGGTACTTCATTTGAGGAAGAATGTTTGCTGCTGTTATATGCAATTTCAAGAGCAGGCAACAGGCTGACCCAATCATGAGTGTAGCCATCATGGTTCTTGAACTCCAAACCAAATGAGCAGAATCTCCTGAGCATATCTTCCAAGGTTTGGATCATCCTTTCAGCCAGCCCATCAGTTTGAGGATGGTAGGCTGTGGAAAAGGCTAATTTAGTTCCCAGCATGTCATGTAGATTCCTCCAAAATTCTGAAGTAAACTTGGGATCCCTATCACTGATGATAATTTTGGGAATTCCCACGTCAGCCATGATTCTGTTCCAAAACGACATGGCTACTTCCATTGCAGTGTCATCTTTATGATTTGGGATAAACCTGGCTCTCTTGGAGTACCTGTCTACTACTACTAGGACAGAATTATAAGAGTAGGCTCCTCCAGGAGGTAATCCTGTGACAAAGTCCATATTAATTATTTCCCACTTAGTACTGGGTTCAGTAATTTTCTGGAGTAGCCCATATCTTTTCCCTGTTTGTTTATTTGATTTTTGACAAATTTCACAAGACTTAACATAATTGGTAACTTGGGATCTCCAGTCTAACCACCAGGCAGTATGTTTTATCCTTTCCACTGTTCTGTCTTCAGAAAAGTGGCCAGAATTAACATTATCATGGCATTCATAAAGAATGTTGTCAATTTGTGCCTGGTCACAGAGTACTAAAACACTAGAGTGTCTATTTCTGTAGTACAGTAGTCCATCCAATAGGGTGAATTTCCCTTCAGCATAGGGTTTTGCCAAATTAGGGGGCAGGCTAGCAATTAACTCAGGGGAACTATTTTCATTGCTTAATATGTCAACTAATTTTAACAGTTCAATATTATCCTTATAGCTGTCTTGGACTAAGTTGTAAAAGGCTATATCCAAATCACACACGTGGATTCCCAAAATTGGAAAAATATCCTCATCTTCTGGATCCCAGGCTGGGTTATCAGGTGTGTTGGGTAAAGCCCATCTACTAAGTCCATCTGCATTTCTGTGTTTAATGCCAGCTTTGTGAACAATTGTCATATGTCCTCTGTACTGTTGAATAGCAATTTGCCACCTGAGCATATGTCTGTTAGGTGTTTTCATATTCATGAGAGTTTTAACTGCTGTGCAATCAGTGACTACTACAACTTTTGTGCCCTCAAGGTAGTAATGTAATTTTTCAAGTGACCAGACTAATGCTAAACACTACATTTGGCTTGCTCCATATTTCCTCTCACTTGACTTGATTTGCCTAGAGATAAACAATACTGGTTTTTCAGTTGGAATATCATCAATCTCAAATTCTTGATGTAAAGCTGCATCTAATCATCTAAACAAGCATCTATGTATAAAATAAATGGTTTGGTATAATCTGGTTGGGTCTAGAACAGGAGCAGTGGTCATAAGGTGTTTTAATTGCTCATAATTCTGGACACGGGAATATGTCATCTCATATATTACATCTTTACTACAAATTTCATAAAGACTATGGGTAATATTGGCAAATTTGGGGATATGTTGCCTATAGTAGCTACAAAAGCCTAGAAATGATTGCATTTCTGTAATATTCTGGGGCATGGGTTTTAACAAGACAGCTGCTACTCTGTGCTGATCTATGGCCAAGGTTAAACCTGAAACTATGCGTCCCAATGCTTTAAGCTCTCCATAACCAAAATTACATTTTTTAATGGACATTTTGAGGCCAGATTTCACCGCCATTTCAAGCACAGAAGTAATTTTTTCCAGATGTGTGGCCCAATCATTAGAATAAATGATAATGTCATCTATGTAAACCATCATCCAATTTTGACGGATAAAGCTCCCAAATATAGAGTCCATCATCCTTTGAAAATGGGATGGTGCATTTTTAATTCCAAAAGGCATTCTGAGGTACTCATAAACACCTAAATGGCATATAATGCGCATAAATTGTCTGCTATTTGGCTCAATAGGTATTTGGTGGAATCCCTTAAGCACATCCATAGTGGTAATATATTTTGCCTTAGACAAGTTATGCAAAGAGTGGTCAATCCTAGGAATGGGATAATTATCAGCTTTGGTATAATTATTCAAAGCTCTAAAATCTCCAACCATCCTGGACTTCTCATTATGCCATGCAATAATTACAGGGGTAGTAATTTCTACCTGTTCATTATGGCCCACTTTTCTTATAACTTTAAGATCCAAAAGTTCTTTGATATGAGTTTCCAAAGCCACTCTGGATTTTGGGCTAGAAGGATAAGGGGCTCTTCTAAGGGCAGGAGGGTATGGAGGTTGACAAGTTAATTCTAACTTGATGTCATGTCCTTTGACATTTCCAATGGGCTCTTCTGTTGTGCAAAAAGCCTCTTTATATTTGTAGCATATTTTTAGGACATCTTTCTTTTGCTCTTGGTTTAGTATATCACTCACAGCTGCTTGTGACAGATAATCTTTATCAAACTCAATGAGTTCCTTTGTCAGGCCAGATACTTCTTTGATTGGCTCAGATATTTTAATGTTCACATTACAAATCTGGAATTTCCTTTTCCAGTCTCCACCAATGGTATAGTATCTATTTTTTCTCTGAAAAATATCTATTCCATACAAGCAGAAAGTGTCATTTCCCAAAATAAAATATTCACATAAAGCATCTTGTAAAACAACAAATTCAACATTGAGTCTTAAAGATCCTTTGGAGTGAGGGAATATTAAGGGCATACTAATTACACCAAGGGGTTTCATGGAAGAATTACAACTGCTGAACTTGGCTTTAGGTATGGGCAACAAGTAATTTTTCCATTCAGGGTAACAAGTATCAAGGAAGTCACTACTAGTACATGAGCAGAAAGCTCCAATGTCAAGCAAAGCTTTCCATTCTTTACCTTGGAACATGACAGTAGTGTAACTGGTTTTTCCCATAGTATAGCTCATACCTGTCTCAGGTTTGTTGGACAAAAGTTTGGCATCAGAAATGTGGCCAACTTCCATTGTGGAATCCCATTTCTGAGGCAAATTTGACTCACCGTGGATGGCATTAATTTCAAACTCATCTCCAATATCTGCTGATATAACATGGAACCTGTACTCTGATTCATCAGATTGGTGATGATTTTGGTGGAAATCTGAGTCTTCAGGTTCCACTTGCACCATTTCAAACCTGGAAGAAGTTTCTTCCTCACTGTCAGGCTCAATGTTGACATTATTTATCCTTTTTCTGGGATTGGGGCAATCAGGTCTCTTGTGTCCTTTTTCCCCGCAATTGTAGCATTCAGGTATCACAGCTTTTTTAGGGGCAATTTCAGCAGGTTTGTTATCCTTATCCTTGGGGGCAGGAATTTTTGAGGTTCCTTCCCTTCTGTCTGAATAATTTTCCCGGTGTCTTCTGTTGGCACCAGTCATTTCAATGACTTCCTCCATGACATTGATAAATGTAGATAAATCAGTGTCCATATTTGGAAGTCTACATCTCATTTGGTGCTCTAGATTGCCTTTACATTGATCAAGTAACTTATCATTAATGTCTAGTTGAGTGGGATTTTTGTACATACAATCAATCCTCTTTTTCTGCGTGAGACACCATTTGTGAGGTTTGTCTTTTGTGGGATCAAAGTAATCACTCTCAAAGGCTCTTCTGATTTTCTGCTCCCATAATCTGGTACCAAAGTGGGCTTTGATTAATTTTTTCCACGTGTCCCAAGATTGTTTTCCAACAGATTCTTGTTTTTCTATAAACCACTCAAGAGCTACTCCTGTAAATAGCCTTGGAAGTCTACTAAGGACAAACTCATCATCTGCACTGTAGGACAGCAACATGTGGTCAATGTATTTAATAAAACTTATATGGTCATAGTCATCTGAGCCAGCAAATTTAGGCCAATCAGTGACAGGAGGGACCAGTTTATTTAAAGTGGCTAAATCCATGTTATAATACTTAGATGGAACTCTATTGGTATTATGTTGGGTTTGTGGTGGCGCAGTAGGGATAGTGTAATTGTTTAAGTGAGGTGCAGAACCTCTTTTTTGTTGCGGCGCAGAGTTGGTTTGATACATGTCCAGGTGAGGCGCGGTATCTCTAGTTTCCTCCGTGTAGTTTTGCTGCGGCACAGTTTTTTCCTGATGCCTGTGAAGGTGAGACGCAACACCTCTGATATCCTGCGCAGGTATTTCTTCCATGTAGGGATTATTGAAGCGAGGTTGCTTTTGATGATTGTCATAGACTATGTTGTCAGTCTGGTCAATCACAGGCATGTTTTTATTTAGAGTAAGATGTTGTGCTAATAAGTCACGAACGCTGGTCCGTATTTCAGCTCTCATATCTGTTTTGAGGACAGACATTTGTTCCTTTATCAGATTGCTTAGGCCTTCCGATCTAATGTTTTGTTGGATAAGCAAATCTTTTATTAAATCTGTGTCTTCCTTTTTCTTAGCGTTTTCTACAATATTATCCTCCCTAATACTAGACAGGAGGCAATCAGTGACTTTGTTAAGATCGTTGTTAAGCCTATCGACTGATCCAGTCAATTTGGAACAGGCTTTCTCACTTTTAGCAGTGTTATCTGCGATGATCTTTGTCATTTCGGGATTAATGGACAAGGGATTTCTTAACACGTTATCAAACTGAACGGACAAAGAAGTAGTATTTTTCTTGTTATTTCGCGAGACGAGGTCCAAACTATGTACAATTGTTTTAAAATTCTCTTCGGCGTTGCTATCAATCGCCGAGAGGTTTTTGCTAACTAATTCTAGACTATCTAAAATGGCGGTAAGGATCTTAAGATCTAATCCGCCATGTGGCGGTAGGCTGCTTCGAGAGTGTTGCAGCCGCGCATGACTTTCTTCCATCGAAGAGGATCGTTGTAAGCCTCTTTCTTCACTTTGGAGGAGGAGCTCCTCTTTTTCCCCTCTCTTTTTTCTTGGGGAAAGAGCTCTTTCTTCATCGTCCAGGGGTTCCAACCCTTGACAAATTCCTCTAACTCTTGTCGGGGGATTAGTTTTTGTAAAACTTTCTGACTGTCCTGGGCTTGATGGAGTAGAATCTTGAGATCCTCCATCGAGCCGGACTGTTGGGCTGCTATGCACCTCTTCCAAAGGTGTATGTGCTCCTTGGTCAGAAGCTGGATTCGCTCTTCTTTGGATAAAACCTGTTCTCTGGCAATTTGCGGAGTAACTGGATATCGTCGAGAGTGAGCTACAGGATCCACGTCCATCGC